CTGCTCTAGCCCATTCAGATCTAGCTAAACAACTGCTTGTCTCATTCACTGTCTAGGGTACAGTCTTGGTTGCTATTCTCAATTTGGTCACTTGGTATCTGCCAGTTCTGTTGGAGTTATTCCATTTGTCATACACCCCTTTGCTTCCTTATCTATTTACTGCCAAAATATTGATACCACCCAGGTCTTGTAGGTTTTGGTGCTTTGTTCCAGCTGCTCCTATTTTGGGGTTGATGGAGATAGAAATGCTTTCTCCTGGTTTGTTTAGATGCTGTCCATGATATTTGGCTTAGTTATCCAAGTGGCTGTGTGTTTTTATGGAGGGATTCATATGGTGGTATCATTTTTGTGAGATTCAGAATCTATGCTACTAACCATCTTTCCAAGGAGGTCTAATAGTACAGTGCCTAAGGCATTTGCCTGCTAACCAGAAGGCCGGTGGTTCGAACCCACCAGATGCTCCATGGAAGGAAGATGGGGCAATTTATTTCCACAAGGATTTACTGCCTTGGAAACCCAATGTGGGTTGCTATGAGTTGGAATCAACTAGATGGCAGTTATTATTATTATTTTTTTGAAACCATCTTTCCAGAAGTCTGTCAACCTCAGGGAAATTTGAAGGTATACTCTATTGTTCAACCAGTTGTGCAACATGTTATATTATCATTGTCCTATACTCTTTACCCTTCCTCTATTTTATTCATTTATTTTTATTTAACATTTATATTGCACTTATGTGCTAGGCACTGTTGAAAGCACTTTCACAAATATTAATCTTCGTAACAACCCTACTAGGAAGATACTAAGGAGCTCTGGTGGTGTAGTGCATAAGGCATTTGACTGCTAACCAAAAGGCTGGCAGTTCAAACCCACCAGCCACTGCTTGGAAGGAAGGTTGGGCAATTTATTTCTGTAGTGATATCACCTCAGAAACTCAAGGAGGGGTCACTATGAATCAGATCCAACTCGATGGCAGTGAGTTTTTTTTTTTTTTTTTTTTAAGGAAAATACTATTATTCTCCCTATTTTGAAGATGAAGTCTCACCCAAGTGTTTCAACTTTCAGCCAAACAATAGGCAGATCTATAAGGTGAACAGTAACACCAGGGAGGTACATACTCCTTACAGCAATCAACCATATGAGATCAAAAGGATGGCATTTGCCCAGGGAAAGATAAATCTTGGAATGCAGGAAGGGATGGGAAAGAATGGAAATGATAAACATGGAGAGGAAGTGGGAAGAGTGCTGTTACCTTGTGGCGCAGCGATTGCAATCAATGTCATGAAACAAACCAATTCGCTCTGTAAGTATTCACTGAAATCATTATAAAAAGTTAAAATAAATTAAGATGAAGACACTGAGACATGGAAAGGTGAACTAATTTGTCAAATACCACACAGTGAAGAACTTGGATTTAAGGCCAGACAGACACTGTGTTAAATTAAAATTCTGTTTTATTTTATTACAAAGTTGTAGTCGACACTCACTAACCTGATTTCATAATTCACTAGTCACAAACTGTTTTTTAACACATTCCTGACATCATAAGTCCCATGAGACAGGAAACCTTCTCTCTTTTGTTCGCAATTGTATCCTTGGCACTCTCCACCTTGCTAGATAGGTAGCGGGTTCTCAATAATAGGCTGTCAGTTTAGTAAAGAGCCCTTCACTATCATGCCCTGCCAGACCAGTGGCAGCAGTGGCTCTCAGGGCATACAGGTAGGATTTGGAAAAAAGAGGCAGTAACAGGCAGGTAGAACAGACACAGCTTTATTAGGGAACTTACAAGTAAAGGTGAGTACCAGAAATTTTATGAAGGAGGGTAGAGGTCCGTGCAAAATAGTTAGGATTTATATACCGTGTCATCTAACACTAACGTGTAGGGAGAACAATGTGCTTACATGCAGGAGAATCTAAACAATGGTTAATTGGATGTTTTTGTACTGGTTAAGGGACTGCTATGGACACTACCGGAGCTCTGGTAGCATAGTGCCTAAGGCACTTGACTGCTAACCAGAAGGCTGGCAGTACAAACCCACCAGCCACTCCTCGGAAGGAAGGTTGGGCAATCCTACTTCCGTAGTGATATTGCCTCGGAAACCCAAGGAGGGGTCGCTATCAGTCGGGGCCGACTCGACGGCAAACAACAACAACATCGACACTACCAAGGAGTCAGTTGTTTGGTGTATTTTTCCCTGGCTCAGGTCACTGCTCAGTCAGGTACACTGGTTCTTCCTCACAGTCCTTGGTGGGCAGGATCTATCTTGTACTGTTCAGGGCATATGCACCTAATAAAATCTTAAAGCTGGAAGAAACCTAAACTGAAAAACCAAACCAAACTGACTGCCGTTGAGTCATAGCAACATCTCGTTGGGTTTCCGAGGGAGTATTTCTATGGGAGTAGATTGCTCAATCTTCCTTCTGAGGAGTGGCTGGTGGGTTTGAATTGCTAGCCTTCTGGTTAGCAGTCAAATGCCTTAGGCACTATGCCATCAGAGCTCCCAGAAGAAACTTAGTCCAGAGCATTACAAATGGCATTAAAGCTAACTTTTATTTAGCTCATTTACATTACGTTCTTTACCCAATCATTAGTGGTAAAGGTGACAACAGAACACAAATGTTTATTTTTTTTTTCACATTTCCTCATTCATTCATTTATTCATTAATTCAAAAATTTTTGAGCATTTACTTAATTCTCAAATTAAAACAACAACATTAAGGTAAAAAAAAAAAAAGCAAATTTTAGAAAATAATGTGAAGTATTGTCCCATACTGTATATAATTTTTTGTATTGTAGTAGATCTTAAATTCTAAAGCACTTGGTTTGTGGAAGGCTGCTGTCTACAAAGGGAGCCTTTAACTCCATTTTGAGTTTTGACATAAATTCAGACATTGACTTCTTTTTGAACTTTAAACCAACATTGTTGCCATGCATAGATAAGTTCTAGGACAAACCTAGGAAGGGGTAGTTTGCCTTTAGGAAGAGTGTGGTAGAAAGTCGATTATGCTTACATAAAGAAATAGGGAACTTGCCTTGTCCTTAATGATTTACAGAAAACAGCCACATGTTATCTAATTTAAGGTAAAGGTTGGAGTTCTAGTATTGTCTTGTAGTTATCTTGTCGCTCTGAATCAGAGCTCATGAGTCATACCATGTGACAGTCATATAGCCTGGTGGTCCAGCCCTGGAACCAATCCTGTAACCCTTTATGGTCTGCATTTGTGTCTATATCCCATTCACAGTTCTTTTCCTGTTTCTGTAGTCCAGCCTGCAGCTGTCATGTTGACCTGCCACCAATCATGATTTTGTGATAATTTCCTTTGTTTTCAATCTTATATAATTAGCTCCATGATCTTAAGTCAGCAGACTCCTTTTGGCCTCTATATTGTATACATGCTGATGGTTTCCCTCATCCTTGATGATTGTCTTTATTTTGTCTTTGTCTTAAGGCAATAAAAGATTCTCTATAGAACATGTTTGAATCTGGAGTCTTATTTTTCCAATAGCACAGTATATAGGAAATCTGGAGTAATGTACAACAAATTGTTAGTGTGTTCTGGTGTAGGAATTGGGGGTAAATTTTGTTTTATATTTCTGTATTATTTGAATTTTTGCAAAGAAAATGTAATCTTACAATCATAAATTGAAAACACTGGAAGAATGTGTGCATTCAAATTGTGGTGTTGGTGAAGAACAGTGAATATACTATGGACTGCCACAAGAAAGAACAAATCTATCCTAGAGGAAGTATAGCCAGAACGCTCCTTAGAAGCAAAGAAGGTGAGACTTTCTCTCACATACTTTGGACATGTTATCAGGAGGGACCAGTCCCTGGTGCAGGGACAACACGTTTGGTAAAGTAGTTGTTGTTACGTGCGTCCAGTTGGACCCGACTCATAGCGACCCCTCCTTGGGTTTCCGAGGCGGTATCACTATGGAAGTAGATTGTCTCATCTTCCTTCTGAGGAGTGACTGGTGGGTTTGAACCGCCAGATTTCCCTCAATGAGATGGATAGACATAGTAGGTTCAACATGGGCTCAAACATACCAACAATCATGAAAATGACACAGGACTGGGCAACATTTTGTTCTGTTATATGAGAGTGCTGAGTTGATTAGGTAGCTCTGGTGGCACAGTGGTTACAACATTCGCCTGCTAACTAAAAGGTCGGTGGTTCAAACCCACCAGCTGCTCCGTGGGATAGAGATGAGGCAGTCTGCTTTGGCTTCCTTAAAGATTCACAGCTTTGGAAATCCTATAGCGTCACTGAATTGGAATTGACTCTGTAGCAGTGGGTTTGGTTTGGGTTCTGGTTTATGGATCCAGTGGATGGCACTTAACTACAACAATCATAAAAAGAGATTTGGGAAAAAAACAACCTAACACTTTTCGATCTTTTCTTTTCTTTTTTGAACCTCTGCTGTATTTGACAGCCCTTGTCGTATTCATTTCTAAGTCCCAATACCCTGATCAAAGTCGACACTGAATAAATGTACATGACTGAAAGCCTACTTTTATCAAAATGGTTGATTCAGTGTAAATCTAATTCCTGTCTTAATTTTAGTGGTAAGGTTTCAAATCACACTGGCATTAGTGGACAGGGTATGGCTTTTTCCAATGCAATTAATACACGTCCAGCCAGGTAAAGCTCCACGAATACTTTCTCAGTCACCACCAAACTTGGTGACAGACTTCAAACTCAGTACCCTCAAGCAAAACGTACAGTTAGTTCAAGCGTAGTGACTGGTAGGTGCAGCCCTCGCTTCACGCACGCGACTTACTCGTGCCGTGCCCAGCGCTTAAGGCGCATCTCCCAGATGCTTACTCCTTTTAAAGTATCAGGCAATTTACCTTCCCCACAAACCCAATTCGGCTTCGCCTAAAGGCGGAAGCGAATGGGAGGGATCAATTGTTGTGCCCCGCCCCGGAAGTGGGCGGAGCGCCGTGGGCCCCAGTGTCTCCCCCGCCGCTTTGCAATCGGATTGCGGCCGAGGCCGGTCCTGGCTTTGTAGCTCGCTTAAGATGGCGGCGCAGCCACCCAGCGGGATCCGCCTCAGCGCGGTGAGCAGCCGCGAGGGGTGGAGCGGGCCGTATCCCATGGGGGCGGGCAGGCAGGCAAGCGAGGGGGGGCCGGCAGTGGGCGGTGGTGACTCGTTGGCCCGGCGCGGCGGCTGGGGCCGTGGCAGGGTCTGGGGAGGGGGCCGCCATCTCGCTACCGTCGGCGGAGCGCCTCGGCAGCTCGGCGGCGGGCTGGGCCCAGCTAGGGCGGCGCGGGCGATGCCGTTTCCTCAGTTCCTTTTCTGTTTTGCGCCAGCGGCATCGGGGCGGGCCGGGGTGCAGCCCCTCCTCCGGCTTTCTTTTCTCTGCCTCGCAGCTGTTGTCCGAGGGCGAGGCCTCGGCAGCGGACCCTCCAGTCCCCGGTCCCTGACTCTTCTGTGCGTGCGGGCCCGCGGGGCACTCCAGAGGGGAGGGAGCGTCAGGCTGGGCCAAAAATGTCTGGCGGCCTTGACCTCTTGGCTGTGGGACTAGGTTTAGGGGCCGCCCGCGGGGTGGACCATGCGGAGACGAGTCTTCCTCATTCGTTTAAATTTCTGCCACTTCCCATCCAGTTGAAGCCCTCAAGCCTAATCGCTAGATGACCGATCTGTCCTGTTCCTTCTCTAGCCCCTTCATCGCCGCTTCAGTTTAGGGAAGCGAGTTTTTGGAAATCTTTCAGCATTTCATGTCTTTACGAGTCTATGTCGTTGAGAGCGGTCACACCTTATGAGTCTTAAAATGTGGGAGTGGCTTTGTCAGCTGTTTATCCTAGAAAAGTTTTATTCTGCGTCAAAGTAGTTAGTGTTGTTATGCTAAAAAGTACCCACTATTGAGGATATTGATTCTTTCCGAAGAGATTTCCAGTCTCTGCATTAAACATTCGAATGGTAATGACTGCTTGTGGAAGTGCACTGCTCCGTGACATCTTTCATTCTTACCAACACTTCGTGTCAGTTTGAAATTTTTCCAATCTGATGCATGTGAAATATGCTTTCTTCTCTGCATTTTCTTGATTATTTGTGAAGTTGAGCTTTTCTTAAATTGGTTAGTTTATTGCCTATTCATTGTGAATTGACACAGTGGCTGCAACAATGAGCTCAAACATAGCAACGATTGTGAGGATGGCGCAGAACAGGACACAGTTTTCGTTCTGATGTGCATAGAATTGCTGTGAGTCGTAACCCATTCGACAGCAATTCGACAGCACGTAACAACATATCCTTGTTTATTTTATTATTATTATTATTTTTACTTCAGGGGAGTCTTTATTTATAAGAATTCTTTACATATTCAGGATATATATCCTTTAATTACATAACAAGTTCATTGAATGAGATAATCTTTAATTGTGTGAATACAGGGAGCAACTTCATTCTTTCCTTAACCACTCACTGGCTTTGTTGTTGGTTGCTGTCCAGTGGATTCCCGCTCCCGGTGACCCCATGTGTTACGCAGTAGAATTGCTCCATGGGGTTTTCTTTATCTTAATTGTAATCCTTTTTTTTTTTTAATCCAAAATTCATTTATTGGCATGATTTCCCTCTCAGCTTGATTTTAGTGCTGTTTCCAAAAAGCCAGCCGACCCCCCCACCCCCCAGGGCTGGCAGAGGACGGTGGAGTAGCCAACACAGTAAACTAGTGTTTGTGCATGGCTAAAGACTGATGATTTTATAGCATCCTGGACATTTCATATCCATGAAGTAGAAATGAGGGCTCTGCACCAGGCACTTCTTTTGTTTTCTCATCTCTTCTGGAGAGGGTTGAAGGACTATACATCCTTTGCGAGAGGTATGTTCATGTGGGGGGAGGTTTCATATGGGGGGAGGTTCATATGCTGGAAAAAGCTCTTGATTGTAGTCTTAAAGGAAGAAGAGCGCCAGGCCTTTTCTTCCTAGTATGGCTGGGTAGATTCTGACCACCAGCTTTTAGGTCAGCAGTCACTGCATACTGTTTGCACCACCCATTGCCTTTAAACCTTTTAAAAATGTTCTTCGCTACACCTGGGTGAATCTTTGCAGATCATGTTGTTTTTCCAGTTAGCCTCAAGTTTTGCAGTGTTTAAAGCCCTATTCTTCTTTCCCTGCCATCTTACTTCTCAGTTTGGGTCAAACTCAGGCCCAGAAACCTCTGGTGGGGAAAAGGAGTGACTTGCTTTCTTCATTCATTCTGCACTTAGATTCTCTTCTCCTTTTCTTCCCACTTCCATAGTGCCATCTCTGGCTTTGCAAGGTTGAAGTGAGAGGGAACCAGATAAGGGTCAAAACAGTTTTAAGAGACCTGTAGTACTATTGTTAGCTGGGTCTCTGCTATAGCAGAGGTCCATGTGCTGCATCTTTCTTTGTGGATGATACCGGCTGTCTGAAACCTCATTGACAGAAATCTACCTGCAGTTTCTGGACACTGTTCCCACCAATTTCTTTGCTTTAGGATAGCAGTTGGCATACTACCAAAACCCAAAACCAAAGCTACTGCCATCATTCAATTCCAACTCATAGTGACCCCTATTGGATTTCCCAGTAGATTGCCCCATCTTCCTTCCACGGAGCTGCTGGTGGGTTTGAACCATCAACCTTCTGGTTAGCAGTCAAATACCTTAGGTACTGTGTGCCACCAGAGTCCCAAATCTAGTCTGCCACCTGTTTTTGTGTGGCCTTTTAGCCATACGAAACCAATCCAGATCCACTGCCGAGTTGATTCCGACTCATAGCAACACTATAGGTCAGGGTAGAACTGCCCCGTTAGGTTTCCAAGGTTGTAACTTTATGGAAGCAGAGTGACTTATCTTTCTCCTGTGGAGTGGCTGGTGGATTCTACCTACCTTTTTGTTAGTAATA